ATGCTGCGGCGGCAGTTGTCTCCCAAGCCGCCGCCTGATTTTCCGCCGAGTCGTGGACCAGATCCTCCGGATATGGCCCAAGCTCCATCAGGAACCTCTCAGGGTCCATCAGTCGCCTGGGACGGAACCATCTAGGCGGTTCCGTCTCCCTGCGGCGAGGGGGAGCGGTCCGGAAGTCCATCCTTAGGAGAGAATGATTGTAACAGACAAAAGATTCAAAGAGTGTCTGCGAGCTGCTGAGAGTTTTTCAGCAGCTTAATGACAGGGCAAAGGGTAGGGACCTGGATTGCTAGGAAAGTAGGAGAAGAGTTAATCTATGGGTGTATTTCTCAACTTTGGTAGCTTGAGAATGGGTGGATTTCAACTCCCAGAATTCTGGGAGTTGAAGTCCACCCATCTTCAAGCTGCCAAGATTGAGGAACACTGATCTATGGTGTCAAAACAGCAAGAATCTGATTGCATCCTTTCCAACTAACAGATTTAATAAGCGTATGCCTTTTAATAAAACCTGTCATAAAAGGTGCTACCAAACTTCTGATATTTTTTGTTGTTGTTATCCCAACATGGAGGCTTGCCAAAAAGAAGACAAACCCATCAAACCAGCCTCCATTTCTTTCACCACCCTCCCTTCTGCCCCTCCCTTTTGACACTTGAGAAAGAAAGGCCCACCACATCAGCTTCACGCTTACTGGCATCCGTCGTCCGGTGAAAGCGTGAGAATACAGCTTCAGATCTTGATCCGCCAGAGAGGAGGGGACCACAAAATATTCTGGAAGACTTCGGAAAGAAAGCAGAAAAAAACACCCATCTTTGGAAGTGTGAAGTCGGTCATTTGAATTCCAACCCAAGATCTTAAAAATATGGAGCCTCAGAAGACGTCTGAGCCATCCGAACACACTTTCTCCTTCTGAGCAGACATCAGTGGTCATCTCTAAAGGGAAGAGCTCATGGGAAGAGCAGGTGATGTCCTACCTTTCCCACAGATCCTGTCACTTTCTTAGAAAGATTTACCTGGTGGATATCATGTAACCTTCATTGACCGAACACACACGCCATTCGGAAGCTCCCGTCCTCTTGATCTCTCTATCCCAGTCTGAGAAAGTTTCAAACAAGGGAGTCTGATGATGACCACCCCCACCTCCTCCTCCTCCAGGGTCTATTCCATTCACCTTTTTTGCTGGAAGAAACAAAGCAAGGATGGTATTTTCATTTCAGAGTGGAAACGCACAGAGGCAAGGGATTTTAGAAGAAAAACAGAGCACAATCAACATTCAATGTGGTTATTTTTAACAGGAAAAAACTGAACTGAGATACTGTAAACCACAGTGAGGTTTTTGTTTTTTAACTGCAGTGACCACTAGGCTAAGTTTCCCTAATTCTCCAACTGTTGTCAGGCTCTCCTGGTCTGGGGCTACGACCGTTTTGTGGTTCTGCAGGGGTCAGTTTGCCCATCTGCTATTCTGCTGCTTGAATGGCAGTCAAAAGTTTTTGATAGGACAAAACGTCTCCCATAGCTCCATGGGAGAACCGGTATGGCTTATGTTAAAAGTTGGGATGGACCCGTTTCCCCCACTTCTTCTATAACATCTGCGTCTAATACAGAATTAGTGACATTCAAATCCCATCATTCCCAAGCTTCAGAGATTATTCTGAAGGTCTTCAATAAAGAAGTTCTAGAAGTAATAAAACTTGCATCTTCCCCAAAGACATTTCTAGAAAATTGAACTGATAGGCAGACCACTAAGTGGAGAAGGTTGCCACCCAACTCAGCAGGAATAGCCAAGATCTGGGCAGAAAGCAATTGAGCCATCTAGCAAGACCCTGGAGTATCCTCAGTGGGACACTTCTGGACCAGGAGAGAAGCCTATCACCAGGGGAAGGGGGAAGAACCTATTTAGATGTCCAATGAACGAAGACATATAAACGGAAAGGATTGATACATTTGAGACCAGCAAAGGTCCCAAAACGTCTCTGGGTAGTTGGGTTCTCATTGACGATGTGACCTAGTTAGATCATGAAACATCTGCAAGAAAGCCACCAAACTCAGAGAGCACCAGAACTCAACCCTGAGCTACTAATGGATTCTCTTCTATTAAATCTTCCTCTGCATTACTTTTATCAAACCAGATGACTATAGAAAGAACAATATACATGGCCCAAGACCACGGGGCTTCTTGAATCATCAAATAACTGGGACAGAAGTTAATATCCAGGATCCAATTTAAAAAGCACCCCTGCACCTGGCGTCTCAAAGGCCTCCATTACCTGGATTGTGGTATTTCTTGCCCACATATTCAAATGCAAAAAGCAGCTGGAGGTCTGCGGGTTGCGAGTAGTGTGCTATTGCAAGACACACCTGAAGGTGGAGGAAGAAAAAGAGAAACAATCTTCAGATGGGAACAAGCAATCCAGAACCCCTTAAAAAAGTATTTTTATTGAGAAATTACAAAGAAGGGGCAGAAAAACAACCACTAAAAATATGCTGCCTCCAAGGACGCCTGCAACTTTGATTTCCTTCCCTACACCCCCCCCCCACAAATGTCTAATTTGTTAGCTGTTGATGCCTACAAAGAGCAACTGCGCACAGTAACGCCTTTGTCATGGGTTTTAATGGATGCCACTTCTTATTAGTGGCCAGGCTGCCAATGGCTTCCATTGTATGTCATGGAAAAGGAAAAAGGTCAACATTTTTTCTGTCTAGCAGGAGAAAATATTTCACAAATTAATCATGTTCTCATTTTCAGAAGTGCTTAGGGTGCAAAAAGGGAACCTTTGAAACATCTTGGGTGGAAACTGACCACTTCAACTTTCAGTTCCTACTTCCTGAGAATCAGGGTTGGGTTTTTTTGGGGGGTGGGGGGGAAATCATTCCTACAGGAGACCCAAGGAAAGATTGCGCTTTCTGTACAACTACAAGGGATAAACCAAGAGGGGAAACTAATTCTGACCGAACGGTTCTTATTCTCCTCCAAGAAACATGAAGCTCAGCTGAGCCATCAAACCGAAGCCCATTGTCCTCCCAGCTCTCTCAAGCAAGAGTCATTTCAGAATCCTGCTTGAAGGAAATAATTTCCTGCCAAGTAGCTAACTGAATGCTTCAAGGGTCTTGCTCACAAGCCCAGCTGCCCTCCCTCCCTTTCCTCCCCCACCCGCCTGACTCACTTGAAGGCAAAATCAACTGAACGGAAGCCAGCAGTGTTTCCACCTCCTCTTTGGTTTCTACCAATCCACTTATTCAGGTCAAGTAGGCTATATGTCAATCAAGATGGGCAAAAGGGTTGAATTTTGAGGATAAGATTTGGGGCCACTGGTCAAGTATAGCAATAATCGTGGTCTCACTTCCCAAAGTTTTTCTATTCCCATTCCTCGAACATCTTGAAAAGAGCCAGAAAAATTCAGCCACAATCATCCAGGTGATGACACAACATCAAGAAATGGCCTTGCAGAAGGCTGAGAGGCTCAACAGCATCCCCACCATTCTCAGTAGTTGCCCCCTTCTGCCCCCTAAAGACATATTCTTCCTCCAAAGGAAACGTGGAAGGGTTTTAACCTGTTTAGAGGAAATAACCACATGAAAACAGCAAAAGAGAGTGGAAGAGCCTGGAATTGCTTCTTCTGTAGTACTAACTACATAGACGCCTACAGATAGTAACTCACAGACTGCCTTCCTCCTCTGGAGCCCTCTTTTTTTGGAAAAGAAAAGGTGAAGCAAGAATGAACAGACTCAGCTGGAAAAGATAAAACATTCCTGATCTCTCTCCAGAGAAGTAAGCATTCTCTTTTCTCCTCCCTGGCCAACAAGAAGTGGGCTCAAAACCACAACCATGATACTCGGCTTTCAACCGGGTTTACGAATCCTGGAACCTGAGTAGCATCAACAACACCCAGGGCTAAAGAGAACTGGAGCAAGCTGAAAGATAGACGTGATATGGAAAGCTGAGAAGATGACTCCGGCATGGGCCTAATCTTCCAGCTAAAAATATACCGCAGCCGATTGGCAATGCTCCTTTCAAGTTGCTCCTCAAGCAGATGGCCGTTAAGCAGGATCAGAGCCATGTTGATCTTATTCTGACGGCTCAAAAATCAGCCTTGTGCTGGGGAAAATAACAAGAGCCAAAAGAACAAGGAAGATGTCTTGGAGGATTAGAGAAGGGTCAAAGCCCACTGTTTATATGTTCCCTCAGATGAAAAAATTATGCATTTCCTGTACTGATTAAATCATAAGGAAATACCATCTTGGGAACTGCCAGTACTTACCTCTCTGCCAAGCTAGTCAACCGATGGGGATATCTAACTAATCTTGACGTGGGAAACAATCCAAAGTGTACTGGCTCTCTGGCCATGACGCTTGGCTTTTACACAGATTTTTAAGCTAATCATCCACGTTAGAAATATTTCTTACTCCTCGACACGTTACCATCTTTCATTCCCATGTTGGTTTGCGTGCAAGTTCATAGGTGCACGATTGGTGCAAAAGAACCTGAAGCAACACACTCCAAATTATTTGCACTGTACGTGTTGTGAGTTTAAAACTCTAACGTCGGCCAGTGTCAACATTTGGAACCACCAATGTGAGCAACACACTGAAAAGTCCCTTTGTGTTCTATGCTTCCATTTTGTGGGGAGGAAAAAAAAATCTATTTTAGACCACTAAATAAGATCAACTCAGTCCACGTCTGTTTCAGGATGTTAGATATTTACAGTTTCCACCAGCTGGAGAGGGAAAAAAACACCCTTGCTTAAATACACAGCTGTATAAGAAATTTAAACCCAGGTGCCAACTAGTGGCACATGTAACACTCAATGGTCTTCTTGTTCCATTTTTTTTTCTTTTTTTAACCCAAGCCCAAATGTTCATTTGGGAGGTTTTATATACGTGCAGAAGGTTGAACCATCTGTCAGGAAAATTCTTGACTCCAACCAACCAGAAGCTACGTGTGAAATTTTCAGATCTGCTTCTTTGAGGAAAAGTGGATGAGAGGACAGTCACTCCTTATGCAGATTTCAGTTATTTGTTGATTATTTATTAAATTCCTATTATTTGATGAGTGGATTCAATTCAATTCTTCTTCTTCCTGCCATTAATAGTTTGCAAAAATTTCCTTCATTCAATAGCTCCTTCTGCCCATGATTTCAACTCTTAAATATTCAAGACACGTACCTTTTTGGCACTTTCCGATCCGGCTTCATCAAAACGAAACCGGACAATCCGAAAGTCTTTGCAGTAAATAATTAATTCCGTTGGATTAAACTTCAGCTTTTGATTGGGGCCCAGGACTTTCTGCTTCCTCTTGGTATCATTCACTGCAAGAAAGGAGGGAAGAGGCAGGAGAGATTATAAGCTTTTGTTTAAAACGAAGTGTCAAGTTTCGAAGCCCGGTTTTGCTGGTGTGATAAATATTGCTTCCCAGCTTGCCCACGAACTTGGGGGGAGGGGAGAGGTTTGGAATGCAGACTTCAAAGATTAAGAAGCCAGACCATGAGACTCAAGGCCGTTACACCAGGTGTCTGGTCAGACCTAGAGATGCTCTCTCATAACAATATTTTTCTACTTGATTGGGCAACGTGACCTGACCTAGAGCAGTGGTTCTCAACCTTTTTAATGCCGTGACCCCCAACCGGTCGTAAGTCGAGGACTAAACCGGTCGTAAGTCGAGGACTACCCAACCGGTCGTAAGTCGAGGACTTTCCCTGCCCGGGAGCGCTGCGCATGCGTGGTTCCGCCCCCTGCGCCAGCCGAGGTGTAGCTGGCAACCGGCAGAGACGGAGCAGGCCGACCACCAGCTGGCCCAGCTCAAGGGAGGTAAGGCACCCGCCGGAAAAGGGGAAAAAAATGGCGGACAGCCTTGCTTGGCGACCCCCGTGAAATGGTCGATCGACCCCAAATGGGGTCGCGACCCATAGGTTGAGAACCGCTGACCTAGAGGGAGGAGGGAGAATTCAATGCTTTTACTATTTGGGTTTGGGAGGGGTCTTGCCAGAGCTGGTTTTGCTTTCATTAGTGCCAAAGTGATGTACTCCATAAAGTTTTACATTAAGAGATCGGAACGTCTCGAAGGTCTTTCTTGGTTGGGTTTGACAGTTGGAACCTTGACACAAAGCATATGAAACGTAGGCCTTATGAAGCCTGTTAATATGTATTTTTGTTTCTGCAATTGATCAACTGTGCTCAATTCCTAATTAGTGGAGAGGTTTAGTAATTCATCTGGCCATTACCTGTGACGATTTGCTCTACACATGTCAAGGCAACGTCGTGTTCTCCTAGGAGAAGGTTTCTGTATTGGAACTTCTGAAACAGAAGAGATGCAATCAAGATAAAACACATGAACTACTTACTTTTAGTTATGTCTTGCTGCACAAAGGACAAAATTAGCATTGTTTTGGATTTTTTTTAAGGGGGCGCAGGGAGAACAATGCTATTAGATGTTCAGACTCACCTTGTAGGGAAGATGGGCATTATAAAAATAATAATAAAGAAAAATAAAACAGTTTATATGCAGGTGGTCTTTGACTGCTGAAGTGACCTATGTCTGTTTTTGACACTTAGGACCGTGGCAGCATCCCTATCCCCAGGATCATGTGATCAAAATTCACACGCTTGGCATCCGATAAATATGACGGCTTCAACGTCCCAGGGGGTCGCGTGATCCCGTTTTGCGACCTTCTGACAAGCAAAGTCAATGGAGAAGCCAGACTCACTACCATGTTACTAAGTTAACTATGACAAGAAAGGTCATAAAATGGGGCAAAATTCACTTAATTGTCTCACCCAGCAACAGAAGTGAAGTCGAGGACTATCTGTGATTCATAGTGTCACAAATATTATGATTTAAATTTCAAGAAAAAAGTTGTGGCCCCTCCCTGATTCCTAGCTGTTTGGACTTGCAACTAATGTGACTGGCATTTAATGCAGCTGTCCAGATATTGTTGGATTCCAAATTTTCCATCTCAACCTGACACTGGGATACTTTTCCAAAGTCATTCGAAAGCACTTCCTTTTGTTCCATTCTTATTTATACTAAAAAAAAGGACTTATTTAATTTTAGCATCCATGTTCGTATTCCGAAGTTTTGTAAGGTATTTTTTAAAAAATAACCTATACAGAATCCCAGGGCTACAAGGGACCTTGGAGGCCTTCTAGTCCAGGGCTTTTCAACCTTTTCACCCATTGTACCACTTTTAGAATATGGCAATATCTGAGTACCACCAGTCACCTAGCAAGGTGTCAAAAACTTAATGACCCAAAAAAAAAGCCAAAAAGTGATAAAGTACAGGTAGTCCTCGACTTACAACAGTTCGCTTAGTGACTGTTCAAAGTTACAATAGCACTGAAAAAAGTGCCCCCAAGGCACAGCTGAGCAAGACACCTGCCTGCAGCGCTCTTCCTTCTGTCCGAGGTTTTCATTGTTGTGAGCATTTCTGTTGGGGATTGGCAGCAGGGGTGGGGTGGGGGGTGTTTGGTTTTTATTCCCCCCGTCTGCTGGGTGGTTGCAGCAGGTTTTGGTCCCTTCACATGACCCTGGGACACTGTGACCGTCATAAATATGAATCAGTTGCCAAGCATCTGAATGTAAATCACAAGACCCTGGAGAGGCTGCAACATTCCAGCTGATCGGCGCTTCTTCTGGGCTCAGCAGAACCGCCAGGATCAGCGCCGAGCTCCAGCTGGAGCCTGGCGCTGATCCTGGCACTTCCGTTGAACCCTGACAGCCCTGCAGCTCCAGCCGTCTCTCGCCCAGGCTTGTGCGGTGCTGCCATCGGTTCAGCTCATTCCCCTCCCCCGCTACCACTTTTCTAGGATGGTCGCGTACCACCTGCCAGGTGCCAATGTACCACAGGTGGTACCCGTACCACTGGTTGAAAAGCCCTGTTCTAGTCCAACCCCTGCCCCAGGGGCTTATATATATTTTAAAGTTCCCTTTTCTTTTTTTAAAAAAGATAGTGCTTGCTTGCTTTTCCTTCTCCCCCAATACCCCCCCCCAAAAAAAAACCCTCAATAACTATCTGCCTTTGCTACACTTCCAAAGAGCAAATTCAGGGAAAAGAGGTACATACACCAGATAGTTGAACTTGCAAAATCTGGATATTTTTCCATTGGGTTATTTCCCTGCGCTGTATTGCAAAATGGGAATTGCACAGCAGGACTGGAAGCTGAGTTCAAAGAGGTTTCCTCTAACTGTCTACGAGAGGAAACGTCCTGGGCACGTGTGGGGATTCCACACAGGGTCCTTACAAAAGAGAACGGGGAAACCCCCCAATGCAACCAGAGCTGCCAAGTTAAACCCAAAGGTGCTTTTTCAAAAGGGAACTGGACTTTCCTGGTTTTTCTTCCCCTTAAAAACATTTCGCTTCACATCCAAGAAGCTTCTTCAGTTCTGACTGAAGACCCTTGGACTAGAAAACCTGCACGGTCTCTTGTAGCCCTAGGATGAGAAGCGAAACGTCTTCAAGGAAAAAAAAAACCCCAAGAAAGTCCAGTTGCCTATTGGACAAAAAAGCACCTTTGGGACAACCATGACCTGGACGCTGGAGACATTTTGTCAAGTTAATCCACAGTTTCTGCGCACTCCTGTTCATATCGTGGCATCCAACCAACCTGAAGAGGGATAGTGTCATCTGTAATGAAGGATATCTTGAAGTTGCTGCAGACCAGCTTTCCCCAGAGGTCATATTGGCTTGTATCCGTTGCGATGCATTTCCTCACAAAGTTCACTTCGTTCACCACAATTTCGCCTGAAGAGAGAAAAGAAAGCTGGTGGAATCCCTGCACGAAATCTTCCACGAAACCAGCGGTTCTTAATTGCTTTGTGCCTTTGATGAAACCTATGGACTTCTTTTTGCAAAAATTATAGAAAATTGAATAAAGGGGCTCTTCTCTTATCCTCCATTTTCCAAGTTCACAGACCCTCTGGAATCCATCCACAGATCTCCAAGAAGTCCATGGAGCCGAAGTGAAGAGCCACTGAATTAAATTAACTGAACTTGTGAGTTCAGAATATTGTTCGTCAAAAACGGCTTAAAAACTAGTGTTGTACAAACTTTGGATTTGATTGAAAAAGGTTCTTTGAAGCATGAGGGGCGTGAGCACAGCATGTCCTTGTATCTCTTTCAAGCAGCTGCATCTTTCCTTGGCTGGTTTCCTGTTCTCCACAGCTACCTTGGAATTCTAAGAAAAGATGAAGTTACTTTAAATAGCTACAGAAAGATGCTACATCTGGGTCCTTGTGTCCTTTTGAAACTGAATCTGAAGCACTACTTGGCCTACTAAAAACTTATTTCTAAAAAGCCCAATGAATGCTCTAAAGCATGGTCTACTTTTATTGATGGATTTTAAATTATTTATATTAAACTGTCCCAGTTGGACCCATTATGTTTTCAAAGACAGGAAGTTTTAAAGCTTTTAAGCAATGAAAATCTCACATTTAAAGGGAGGAAACTCTTTCTGCTGTTGACCCAGAGCTAATGGAACTTCACATCTTCAAGAGAAACTGCAGGTGGCCCATGCTTTCCTTGCAAACCCACTTAGAAATAATTAAAATTTCTCCTCGTTCATAGAACGCCAATCCAAAAGAAGAGTCCATTTTTAATATTTTTCTATTCCCCAATCTCAAACTTACAAGGACCAAAAGTGAGAAAATGCTCTTCAAGAAAGGAAGTCTCCATTTGCAGGTATTTTGAACATTGTGCCTACTCTAAATTTAGCCACAGTCCGGCACCCTTCTCCTTCCGTTTTTGCAGGCACAAGCCGTTCCAAGCATTGAATGATTATAAACATGTGCTAATGACTCAAACAGCGATGTCAGAGGCAAAAAAAGAAAAAGCTGCATTTGTTTTCCAAGAACCCAACAAAACCCAGCAACACACTTATAGATGCAGAATCCACACCAGAATTAAGAGCCAGCCGAAATCCTAAGGCAAGCTGTGCAAATCAAAGCCACAAATGCCTAGAACAAAGATTTACTGGGAAATTAGAGCTCTGTCTCAGATGCATTTATTAAAAAGAGCAGGCAACATCTGAATTTCATAACACAACAATGTGTTTATTTATTCCTTTGGATTTAGTCGATGGTGCAGTCTTCAAAGAAAAGGAAACGAGTTAGCTGGGCAGAGAGATGGGGTTTTGCAAGGAGAGATGCTTCCAGTCTTGCTTACAATGAGCTAACACCGATTTGTCCTCAGTTAACACCCGAATGAGCATTGTGTTTCTCCTACATCAACCAGGAAATTCCAGAAAGGTCTAACACAGGAAATATCAACATGTTACCATCTGACATAAAAAGGCTGGAATGCGGAGCTGAGTAGAGATGAAAAGGGGGGATACGGTAGCCTTAAATTGAGGTGGGGCTGTCAGTAAGCAGAGTTGGTCTTGGGGGGGGGGTCAAATGAGTCCCAGTTCTCTAAGTTGGTGGGGATCCAAACCCCAGTACTTTTGAACTTCACTGATGTCACTCACACTCACTGCATTGAAGTTTGCATGCTGGAAATGACCTATAAATATGAGTTCCCACCAGGAGTGTATTTGCATTTTCTCGGTGGACGTCTGCCGCTTCAGGCAACCGAATTTAGGAATATCACTCTCCAACTCACAACTACCTCCCCCTCTCCCCTTGTTACACAAACACATTTCCCAGAAAGGCAATGTTTCTCTGAAAAATCTACATCATCCTTTTAAATTTACGACCAGTTTAGGATTATCAAGATAAGGTGTCCCTGTCTGTACAAGATTCCTTTGAGATCTTAGTGGGTCACAATCCAGCATCTGCTCCCACTGTTCTTACGGCCATTATCAGGAAAGTCCAGGGACACAGGTAGAGAAACAAAATGCTAATAAATCACTGAGCATCAGTGCAACAGAGATACAAGCATGGGAAGCTCAGCTCTGCTAGTAGCACAATTATCCGGTTACAGATTTTGCTCAAGTAACCCAAAAGACATTTCCAAAATTCAAATCTAGGCAAGCATCACTTGGTACAAATGAAAGGCTAAGTCAGTGTTTCTCAACCTCCGCAACTTGAAGATGGGTGGACTTCAACTCCCAGAATTGCTGGCTGGGGAATTCTGGGACTTAAAGTCCACCCATCTTTAGGTTGCTGAGGTTGAGAAACACTGGCTTAGCCTAGGGAATTCTTATTCCTCCAAACCATTCAGAGCAAGAAAGCATTACTGAACAATATCTTCAATGCTCAATGCCTGCTTCTTGACTCCATAAAGTTATACGTAAAATATCCATGCATCAAGTATTTAAAAAAAACAACCCGGAAAAACAGCCAATAAATATTGGCAGACATTTGTTAGATGTCTTTATTTTCTTCCTGATTTGTAGCAAGCAGCTTCTCCTCCCGCAATGAGCTTTGGGGGATTTTATAGGAGATAACGGAGCAGCTGGAAAAGAGGCAATCCCTCTACTTTGCTCTATCAGGCCCAAGCAGGCGCAATCCTCCTCCTCCTCCTCCATTCCTGGTTATTTGCAGAAATAAAGGTCACGAGCCTACCAGGCGATTTAATTTTATAGCCGGTGCCAACTGGCAAAGAAATGAATACAGCTCTCCTTTCTTCCTTCGTGAAAAGCCGTCTGCTCAAAAGCAGGAGATCCGTTTGGTGAATATATCCTGAATATATATCGTTTAAAAAAGGACTATTTTTGAAAGCCAGAGGATCTCCGAAGAGCCTGCCCTGGACAGGTGACCTGTTGCAATATGCAGAACAAATAGTCCAAAAGGTACAATGTCCAGGCTGGCAACACAAAGAAAAAAGGAACTTTGTGGTTTGAAAAAGGAGTAACAAATGCCGAAAAAAAGGAAAACAGGCCCTTAAGGAACAACCTGGGTCTTGCAATCTCTTAGAGACTCAGAAATGCGTTCCGGCAGAAAATCCTGTGGGGTGCAAAGCCTGTTCTGACACCTGTCTGGAATGTTTACCTGGCAGTAGGACAGGCTCCAGTTTCTTAAGTCGAGGTTCCGGAATGATCTTGTCTTCAGCCTGAAAAACAGGAGGAAAAGGGCAAATATGCAACAACAACACATCGAATCGGCCGAGTCCAGGTAAGTCCTCGACTTGCAGTCATTCGTTTAGTGACCATTTGGAGTCACAACAGCGGAAAAAACCGACTTAGGACCTGTCCTCACCCGTACAACTTCAGCAGCATCCCCATACAGTCATGTGATCAAAATTTGGGTGCTTGGCAATGGGCATGTATTTATGATGCTTGCTGCATCCCAGGGTCATGTGATGGCCATCTGCAACCTTCCCAGCCATCTTCCCACAACCAAAGTCAAGGGGGGGGGAGGGAATGGATTCACTTAACAATAGCCTGATTTACCTAACAACTGCATGGATTTGCTGAACAAGGATGGCAAAAAGGGCCATAACATTGGGCATGAATTTTTTAATCACCTCCTTGCTTAACCACAGAAAATCTAGTTGCAATTGTAGTCGTATATTGAGGTCTACCTGTACTAGGCTGGCTGGGAATTTTGGGTGTTGAAGTCCACCCATCTTAAAGTGACCGGGTTAAGAAACAACTCTAGTAACAGAGCAGCAACGGAGTTCAGAAAGCACCGTCACCCTGGAGCATTAAGTGACCCGTAAAAGTGGTCAAGCCAGTATGAGCAAGCCTGGTGGTCCACTTTCCTTTGTGTCTGTGAACTTTGTGGTGACGGCACCCCTTCTTTTCAAACCAGCAAACTCCATCCAAATGTTTTTGCATTCAGAGGCTCCCACCATAAAACTGGCTGATTTATTGATCCTTAAGGCTCCTTCTTCCATTCTGAAGTATCCTTTCCAAAAATAACTCCCTGGCCTATTAAAATAATTAGCTATTTGCACATTTTGCCCGTGACAATGAAAACAGTGAATTTCTGGAAATGAACACCCCAATCGGGGGGGGGGGGTATCCTCATTTTCCAAAGAGGATACCCGGTTGGCTTTTAAACCTCATCCCTGTTTGGGTTGACATCCTCATGGCTTTAACCGGGTGGAGAATTTAAAGAGGAGCTCAAATCCAAAAGGCCAAACGTGAATCTGCTTTCCAGGGTGTTTATTCCACTAGGCGACTGCAGCAAAGAAAACTCTTTTCATGTTGCAAACGCACAAAATCTCTGCAAGGCAAACTGTTCGCTCCAAGGTGTGTGTTTATTCCTCTGATCTTATCAACCGAATGGACTATTTTTTTCCCCTTAACTTCAGATAACCACCTGATGCATTGCTTGCCTTTTCTCCTGGCTAAGCAGCTCTTGAGAAACCAGATTCGCTAGCAGGAATAAACCAGCCCTGCTAAAGAAAATCCATGCATTTTTAGGGGGAGGGGTGGGGTGTGTGTACAAGATGTTAAACAGGAGATCCCTAGGACGGCAGGTGGTCCAGCCGAAGTATCCTTATGGGGCCAAGCCTGGAAATAAAGGGGCATCTTCTAGAGAGACCACCCACCCACCATCCAAGACCAGGCAGGGTGCTCAGAGAGAGGGGCACTCTGGGCTTAGCCCCCGGGGGCTTCCCCATCCCTGCAATTGCGGGACTGCCTGCAATTAAGCCAGGGTGATCTCTGCCCGGGGGGGGGGGGCAAAGGAAAAGGTGTCCTGCCTGGGCTCAGCCTGTCTGGCAGGGGGTCTTCATTTCGCGGGGTGCAAGGAGCAGCCGATCCCCGAGGGCAGGGGGGCTCACCTGGGCGAGCAGGTGAGTCACCGCCGCCTCTTGCAACTCTGCGGGGGAGGTTTGGGGGGGGAGGCTTTTAAAAATAGAATAGAGCTGGAAGGGACCTTGGAGGTCTTCTAGTCCAGCCTCCTGCTCAAGCAGGAGAACCTATACCATCTCAGACAAGTGACTGTCTCTAGTCTCTTTAAAGACCTCCCCCCCAGCGATGGGCATGGAGGGGCTCGCCTGTAAAGGGACCCCTCCCCCGGCGGGCTGCTCGGATCTGCTCCGCGGGGAGGGGAGGGTTAGGGTTAGACTCCGCCAGGTGAGTTTCTCGGACCCGGAGGAGGACGGAGGGAGGCAGGCGGGGGAGGCGACCCCCCTTCCCCGGGCAGCCCCAGGCCTGGAGGGACGGAGGGGAGAGGGAGGGAGGGAGGGAGGAGCCCTCCCGGGCCATGGGGCGGGCTGCGGACCCTCGGGCGCTTACCTGCGGCAACAGGTAGGACTTGAAGGTGGCTTTGGGGGCTCGAAGGGAGAACATGACGGCGGCGGCGAAGGCGGCGGGTCCCCAGGCAGGCAGGCCGGCCCTGGTCGCTCTCCCCGGCAGCGCCGGGCGGGGTTGGAGGCCCCACCTCGCTGGGCGGGGCGGCGAGTGCGCCCCACCCCTTCCCGCTCCGCCTCCTCCGGCCGAGGCGGCGGAGCGACTGAGCGCCGCTGGAGGGGAAGCGCCTTGGGCTCGTGAAGCCACGCCCCCGACGGGGAGAGGAGGAGTCACCGCGAAGGCAGAGCCAACGGGGAGAGCGGAGGAGGAGGAGGAGCTCCGCCTATTCGAGAACCTAGCAACCGCGGGGAGAGTCTCTGGGTGGATGGGGGAAAGCCACGGGAGGGAGGGAGGGAGGGAGGGAGGCGGAGGCGGAGTAGGCGGTGCTCGCGGACGGCAGACCAAGAGGGACAAAAAGGTGTGGGCATTTTTTCTCCTTCCCCCCTCTTGTTTTTAAACGCGATGCTAAATCCGGTCAAGCGTGCTGGGTGGGGAATTCTGGGAGTTGAAGTCCACATATTTTAAAGTTGCCAAAGTTGAGAAACACTCAACTTTAGGTGGAAAACCCAGGATTAAAAGTGAAGTTTCAAAGAAAGGAGGGCTGCCAGATCTGGACTGCTAGCATGAGGGTCAACTGCTAGCACCTGGCCAACAAGTGACAGCAAAGCCATTTTTGGGGTGTGTGCAGGTGCTGCCCCCTAGGGGCCCTCTGGATTTTGCAGTCCAAATCTGGGACCCCCCAAAAAAATAAAATAGAGAGGGACCTGCAAATAAACAAAAACGAGACCTGCCTGCATGCAATGCTCCGAGTTCAAAGCTTCCAGCATCCGTCTGAATTCTTAGATGTTCATTGAGTCTGGCAGATTTTCCAATTAACCAGCATGACCCCTGAATTCCAAAGTTGCAATTGACCTTTGGGTTAAAATAACAAAATGCCCAGCCATGTGAGGGCTCAGCTGGATGAAGCTGGTTAGGAAATGTTCTCCTTGGGTTTGGCAGCCTTCATCCCCCGCATTCAAACCCATCCTGGATTTTCTCCAGAGAGATTTGTTTGGCAGTTTTAAAGACACAGACATTAAAAAAAATACTAGCCATTTTAGATTTCAACCTGTTTGCTTTAAAAGGAGAAACTCTTCTCGAAATCACGGATGAACACAGCAATGTTTGCAACAGAATGGACGTAAGAACAGAGAGAATGAAAAAAAGAGAAAATTGCAAGCAAAAAACTCCCCTCTGAATTCCTTCCTGAATTGGCTGGGAAATTCTGGGAGTTGAAGTCCACCCATGTTGAAATTGTTGAGGTTGAGAAACAATAGCACTTCATCTCCAAGGGTTGGGTGGATTTTTTTTAGCTAGAAATGATGGCATTCTGGCTGGGGAATTCTGGGAATTGAAGTCCACCCATCTGAAAGTTGCCAAGGATGAAAAACACTTTACACTTTACTGCTTATGAACTTCTAAAGAAGTTCTAAAGAAAAGCCCTGTGAAATTCCCTTCACAAAATGGACAGACCCAGAAAGTAACTCTAAACCTTTGCCCCATTGTGGGTGAAAAATTAACTTCTGCATTCCATTAAACCCAAGTCCTCTCTTATTTAAATAAACCATTTATTTTCTTTGTAAAAAAAAAATCTTTGGGGAAGGGTAGGAGAGAAGCATACTTGGAGAAAGGAGAAGAGGAAATCAGGACCTCGATGGAGGTTGCTTTTCTGCAAAATTAAAGAGATTCTTGCATGAGTTGGGAATAATGGCAAAGACTTCATCTTTGAACCGTGAAGGGCTGATGGTCTCGAAGGAAGGAAGGAAGGGAGGGAGGGAGGGAGGGAGACAATTAAGTTGTCATTCCATCGTGTCTATCTATCTTTCTTTATCTCTGCTGTGTTTATCCATTCATCGAGTCCTCAAGTTGGAAGAGGAGATGGAAACCATTAGGTTGGCTCCACTGCTCAGTTCAGTATCCGGATGAAAGCCTCTCTAGCAAACCAGCTATCTAGCCTGTGCTGGAGAACCTCCAATGAAGTGGATTCTCCTCTTCTCTTGGTCATCAGTTTTCACACCGTTAGGAGGTTTTTTCTAATGTCCAGTTGGAATCTGCTTCCCTTTGTCCATTATTGAGAGTAGGCTACGCAAGAAAATGAGATAACAGGTTTGGTCTCCTTGTGTTTTTACCTTCTTTCAGATCGTTGAAAAGTGTTGTCCTATCAGTCTTTCTTGTCAAGGCTTAGCAAAGCCAGTCCAATCTCATCTCCTGTGGCTCACTCAGCGAAAAAGGCCACGTTTAGCATGTGGTTTCTGTGGAAGGTTTTTCTTGATTTGTTTTCCACTCCTCCGTTGGAGATCCAGAAGGTACCATCAAGCTACTGATGCTCCTGGCATGTCCTGGCCTATTTAGCCTCTCCTTAATGGACTTGGTTCTCTGAGAACGGCTGTGTAAACTCCTTGACCGCCCCGGTGGATACCTACAAGTTCTTCCTGACTTCACCGAGTCTCGGTTGCAAGTTGTCCTCTTCTGGGTGAGAGGGGAGGACACAGGGGAGGGACTGAGACCTTCAACTTTGCCCATCTCACTAGTCTCTTCAGGGTTGGCCAGCAAATACTTCTGCTCTATTGGATTCTCCAGCTGAGGCACAATGCCTGGATATTCGGGAGGGGGGTCATCGTCCATTTTTTGCTGAAGTTCATACTTCCATTCAGCAGTCCATTGTTGAACCGCAGAAGGGCATACTTGGTTCGTGATAGTCCTATATTCTTGGTCCACCAGTGTCCAGTTGTTAAATCCAGCAACCAAATCTCCACCTTGTGCAAAAATAAAACTCTTTGACTTCATTATGGAGGCATGAGAAGTGTTGCCTGTTTCAGCTGGGTAGTATCTCCTTGCTCTGGGCTTGTCCAAGGGGTAAGAGATGGTGGCTCCCAATTTGGTCCTCCCTAAAGGTAACCGCAGAGCTGGTTGGATTCCAGACTGACTGTTCCCAATACTTTCTGTTTGCGTAAGAGATTGAGGTATGGACTCATACTCATAACTTGGAGACTGGTCCTGTTGGTCTACTGAACTGGAATATGATCTAGGGACAGCCTGAACTACCTCTAAGGTGTTTTTACTGCTTTCCATAGAGGTCACTGCATTTGGGCCCAAGGCAGAACGGAGGCTTCCTTGACGTTCTGGGGCCAGCTGCATCTTGGAATCGGCTTTATGCAATGCCAGTGCTGGAGACATTGGCGTGGGCAACGTGTCATACACCAGCTCATCCGTCTGGTAGCGATAGATGCTGTAGCTGTCCGAACTATTCACACTGCTTTGCCTCAAAAGGTAAGCGGCATCGCATTCAGAGGAGGCCCGGGAGCGTGGGAGAGTCAGCTCTGCCGTGTCAATGCCAGCCAGTTTCTCCAAAGCAGTTGCCATTCGGCCAGAGGTGTCTTCCAGCTGAGAAAGCCGAAGATCCACCGTCTGAAGAGAAGCTTTCATGAAATGCTCTCTTTCGTTCACTTCTTCTAATCTCATTGACATATTTTCAACTCTAAAGGGTAGAAAGAAACGGAGGGTTAAGCAAAACAAGTGGATGTCCAATTGTCCACTGCCCAATCATAGGTTCCAAATTAGGAAGTGGGGGGGTTGAAATAAAGGATGGAAGTATGGCCAAGTATGAAGGCATTAAAACACAAAGAAGCATGAATCAGTCAGTTGGACTCCTTTAAGGAAGAATCTTGGGTTCGTGAAAGGCAACAGTTTCCATGACTTTCAGTGGACAAGAAATATAACTAGGAAAAGTTATCCCTTTTTCCAGTTTTAACTGGAGGACTCAGAAATTAATCCTGGAAAATAATTCTCAGTTGGTTCTCAAGTTTAACTTGGGTGAGCTCTAGAAGCCAAGACTTTTGACTTTCAACCGCTGTAAGATAAGTGGATGCAGAAATGGCATTTCCAGGAGAAAAATACCAAAATGTTTCTAGCCAGTATTTTCTTTTGCTTCCTGGGGAAAAGGACCAATTCCAATTAGGTACCTTTCAGAAGTAACTCGAATGCGTTCATCATTGGAGGACTGCTCTTCGTCTTCTTTTTCTTGAAAATATTCCTCCACACATTGTTCCTCAAATTCGTACAGTTTCTTCAACTCTTCATCACTTAGAAACAGCTCTAAGAGCAGAAAGAAGAGAGTTATTGAGTCATGTTGTTTTATTGTGGCAGGTGTGGGGTGTGGATGACCTAGCAAGGGGCATGGCTTTTGAAGAAGCAACAACTGTCCTCTGCATTTTCACACTACTTAAAAGAACAGATGGAAGGACAGATTTTTAAGCTGCTATTTCGTGTCATCTCTGCTCTGTTGTCATCAGGCTGAAACATGGAAACAGGTTTGCTAGAGATACTGATTTAAAACTTTGGGGGAAAGCAATGGTAGAGAACATCATCAAATACCACTAACCTAAATCCAACTGGCCATCTTGCTGTGAGAACAATAATGCAACAGTTGGGCTGTCAAAATAATTACTGGAAAGCATTCTGGAATATTCCTAGCCCAATCTTGACTACATTTACTCATAAACAATCTCATGCAGTGACTGGGGACTGTCTAGATCCAGCCAAACCTCAACAAGGTGCAGGAAAAAAACCTCCATGAAACCATTCATTAAATGTAGTACCCAGTTTTGTCTTAACATTCTCAAAAAAATTGACCAGGAGAATGTTAGCAACCAACAGATCGTAGGTAGTTTAATGGACTTTCCTGCATATTGAAGAGAGTTAGATGAATGCTGTGATCTCTTCCAGCTTTGCCGTTCTATGGTTCTAGGTCATTCATGGATTGCAGTTTATGGGTCATGAAAAAAACCCTTGCAACATATGGGAGAAGGTTGTAGCCCAACCTCTTCCTTGTTCTGCTTGTTTTCTGTTTGAGGGACTTTGCAGGCAAGAAAGGGACCCCCAATGATTGGAGCTTAGGTGTCTACTAGGAAAGAATGTTCTGCCCATACTCAGCCCACGATCACGTTCATCCTGGTCCCCTT